AATCAATCAATTAGGAGCAAATAATCAAGATAGAGTTATTATTGTTTTCAAATGTATTCTGATATTGCTTCTCCCTCGTTGGTTTAAAACGCTGACAAAATGGCTGCCGGCGTCTGCGAAATGCTGAACGAGTGTAGCTCGTGAAGCTGGTCAATTTTTATAAGTGCTAGTCGTTTTGAGTTCGCAGACGTGCTTAGAGGAAGATCTCAATCGACGTAGTTTGCAGCAAACAACTGTCGCAGGTACGCGTCTTCGGAAGCGCTACGCTAGATGCTTGTTTTCGTAGTGGGACTGACCTGAGCCTAGTGTCCCACATCAACAATTTCTGATAGGCTGATAGGTCTGGCTTGAATTCTTTGTTTGCGTGTGTCCATACCGAACAAATGTGATACTTCCCGTAAAAGCGGCTTCGCAGCTCTGTGAATTGTATAATCGTCGTGATGGCGACCATGGTATCCCTACCGAGAAGATATCCACACAGGCAAGAATTAGCGATCCATTTGGCTGGAGGCGATCAGGCGTTCGGCTCGCACAAGGTTGGGCCAGATGTATTCCCGTCATTTTGGTTAAAAAACAACTAGCTCTCAAGCTCTGCAGTGCAAATGGCGTACCAAAGCGAACATTTTTACGTCGCATTTTAGTAGTGCGTCATTACTCTCAGCCATCTTACTCGCGGATGCCACGGGGAAAAAATTACAAGAGGAGTAAAGCTAGAAAGACCACATGTTTATTTTGTTGATTTTTTAGTTCTCTCGGTTGTTTATTACCACACATCGACAGACGCTTGTGTTGATCTGTGGATGGTACGTGATGGAACTCTGGAACACCGTTTCCATGGTTACGTTTTCTAAACGTTGCACAAGTTTCTAGAAGGGGGTGGGGGAGGGGGGGGATAGCAGACGGACGGAGGCGAAAACGGAGGGCGACGCAGAGCTTTCGTGTCCGCGTCTCACGGGCATTGCAGACGACGATAGACGGTGGCGGAATAGCGCCCGGAGCCGGAGGCTGCCGCCCGTCTGCTCGCACGTCAGTGAAAGGCCCCAGACTAGAAGCACCGGATGTCGCGAGAGGGAGACACTAGGTTTGCAAGTGAGTTTGGTCGAGCAGCCAAGTCAGTCCGCTAGTAATTGGCGGGGCCACTGGTTTGTGGGCGGAGCTTAGAACGGGCCATGACCTCCACCTAACTGCGTCTAACAACGTAAATATTGCGCGAAAAAAAATTTGTGTCAAAATGATAGAAATATGTTTGTCCAAAATAAGCTTTGAAAATGTGTTTCTTCGTTTCGCTGCAGTGTCTCTTTAAGGTGAAACGGAGTAGAAGAACAACGGAAAACCGTTCGATCTTGTACCCTAGAAGATTAATCGCACGACGCTTCTCCTTTAAATAAAAACGTGATGTAAAAATAATGATGTCTAGTTTTTTTTGTTTTTTTTTTACTTGTGTTGAATTTATTGAGTATCTGATTGATATCCTGTCGTGAACACCTCTACGGTCACCGACAGCCTAAGAAACGCAGGGCGTGGCTTATTGCGCTCACAATGCTCGCTTCTTGGTTCGCACTTCGCTGTTTTTTTTTTTTTTTGAAGCGCAGCTCTTAGGCACCCGTTTCCGGCTTGAGTGGCGTCGCCGTCGACGTAACCGCGCGGTGTATCATGGGCGCGTGACGTCACTGGTGACGTCACTAATGACGTCATTAGTGACGATGACGTCATTAGTGATGATGACATTGTCAGTGACGATGATGATGACGTCATCGGTGACGATGTCGACGACGTCATTGTTATCGTCGTGTGACCTGAAATTTAAAAAAAAAGATGGGATGATGAAATGTTAGGCTAGGTGGCGCAAGCTGCCGCCCGTTACAAAGGGCGTAGCCATTACCTGCTTCTTGCGCGTAGGTGGCGGTGACGTTAGAACGACGCCGCTTTCTGATTGGCTTTGATTGGAAGGAATATGATTATACCTAAATTCTAGATGCCTCAAGGTCTACCCACTATTTCTGTCTGTCAGCCAATAAGAGCTCGGCGTTGTGACATCTTCACAACAGCTGTGCAAGAAGCAGACGAACTTGCACTCTGCATACTTTGTGACCCGAGGTCGGCAGATCGTACTGCCTAGGTTAAAGTGCTCGTCTACAGCGTGGCCCAGCGTTTTCGTATATCTCAAAAGAAGGTTAATCCCTCGCCCTGTCAAAGTCCAACGCCTAGCATGATTTCTTTGCCTCGTAATACCTTTATTGTTGTTTTCTTTGGGGAGGGAGAGGGGGGGGGAGGTTGAAATACCGTGACTTCACGCTAGGGTCTCATTAGCGCGATCCTTTCGTGCAAGCCATGCCATGCCGGTGTCGCGCGCCCTATTCATCACCCGACAAATCGCAAAATAAAGAAAGATTGTGACCCGCGACGGGGAAAGTTTTCCAAACCGATAACGGCCACCTTTACTGCACGCCCCTTGTCAATCGCCTTACTCCTCGTGAAGAGATGCCACTATGTAATTATATACGACATGCGATACGCATGCGCCAAGAAACTGGGGTAGAAAAAGAGACGCCGAGGGGACGTCCGAATGCGAGAGCCCAATGCCGGATGCTGGCCTTTCGCGCTATTCGTTCCAATCAGAGCTCGGCGTTCTGACGTCCCCTCTCCTCCTCTCCCTCACTTTCCCGGCGCATACACTCCGGGACACAGTTGGCGCGAACCTAACATCGGCGCGTTTTGCGTATTTTGCTGAATCCGCGCATCTAGGGAAGCAAAATTTTATCGGTTCATTTTGTAGGCGATGGGAGCATTTTTGATCATAGCACTCTTTTAGTATGGTCAGAAAATGGCTTTTCGTGTTCACTTCATTTAATTTATTTTCACCAGTAACGCTCTTTTTAAAGCACCAGATAAAGGTTGGGGGGTATATAAGGAAATACAAGGGGGACAGAAAACACTGACAAAATATAAAAATAAAGAACTATAGCGGGTGTTTAATTTTAATTTGAACAAATTTATTACGAAAAATCCGTAAAAGATGCACTTAGGGTGCCTCAATGTCCTTCTGCTTAGGGTGATGCCACCCTTTGTAGTACCCGATGCCGACCGCACGCGCTCACGGGGAAAATACAAAGAAATCGACGAAAACAAAATGTCGCCATAGCACAGTCAGCGCCAGAAACGCGCGCAGGGACACGCTCTTTCACGCGCTTCTGAACAAAAAACAAAAATAAAAGTGTGGGACAAAATGGACACATGTCTCCACCCTAAGCAAAGCGCACATGAAGGCACCCTAGATGCACTAATACCGTTTGGGCAGGGGAGTTATACGGCCGTGGGTGTGTCATATAGTTGGCTAATCTTTGAAATAAGCCGCATGATTAACTGACCTTCCTAACTAACTTTTTGATTAATAAAAATAATTATATGGTTTCAATTAGAAACATGATGAGCATAGTCGAAAACCGCCATATCAGTCTATTTTAGAACGACTTGAAGTTCGTGGGACTCTCGGGTGCGCACCAAAGTTACCACTCGCGCAGCAGGCGCAAAGCTAGCAATGGCGGAACGCGATGAGAATCTATTCATCCGCGTTTTTCCAGTGTTCGGTTTACAACGACGGTCTGAACGACGTTGTGCACGATCGCCAAATTAGGCGGAGAGTTTCTAATGAAGACGTCCGTCTTTTAGAAACTCTTGGTCGGTCGTCTCTTTCGAATAGACGACTTGTCCCCGATGTAGTGTTCCTCTGTAGGATGCTCAACTCTGACACTAAGTAAAATCTCACTCCATGTTCACCGAGGACCAAGATAGGTCTATTACTCTCTGATTTCTCCATGTCGCGCATGCCTTATTAGAATTTAAATTCCCCTGATACGAACTTCGTCATTGATCTTAAAAAAAGTTAATGGAAAGTGTGTCAGTCGTGATTGCTCGCTAGTAATATTTCATCTGTCTTTTTATACACTGCGGGACACTGTTGGCACAAAACACGCCATCAAATTTTTTTTAAATTTATATTGACGGGTAGTTAAGAGTATCGACATTTACTACATTTGTTAGTACCCCGACGGCGGTAACTGGAACGCGTGTCCGACTGGAGTATTTAGCGCCCTATTCCGCCCATGCATCGAACCTGTGAACCCTAGGTGGCAACGATTGACATCACAAAAGCCGGAGTGTCACGCTGTCGCATGTCGCGACCCTGGTGGCTGGTCGTAGACGTTCCGGCAAAAATGGGTAGGAGCAAACACGAGTGTCGTTGTTGTCGCCGCGTCCCAACTGTTGGCTGCCGAAGCTCCCGTGGCCTGTCAACCTGGAGAGCGACCTGCAACAGAACAGGCGCCTGCCGCATCCCCCGCCGCTGTTGGGACGCCGCCAGGATCGCGGCCGGCGACAGCGTGACTCTTTGTGGCGTCATCGGGCAGAAATCGCGAAACAACTTTTTTTCGGACGTGGGTAAGACACCAGTCGATGACGAATTCCAGGCACCATACTCCAACTGAGCACCTTCTACTACTGGAGTAGATTATGATGACAGTCTTTCAGTATTGAGATAAAAGCAGTGAAAACTGGCGATGGCTCAATCGGGCTAGCAGTGTCGGGGAGTGTAAGTGCACACCTCCGAAAACCTTTGAACTATTTAAGTGAACAATAAAACATGATTTGATGATGATGATGATCACTTTGTTTAACTATGCCAGGAGCAGTTCTAAAAGTTTGTGTGTGTGTGTGGGGGGGGGGGGAGGGGTGTCAACCGCCTCTCCCCTCTACCAAACTTTCCGAGGGCAGCTGTTTTTACTAAAAAAAACGACATTCCACACCCTTTTGAGAAAAACAAAAGTTAGCTTTTGGTGAAATTGCACATATTATGCGAACAAAATACATCCGGGCAACGGCTCACCCGTGTCGGCCGCATCCGTCCGTGAAGTCCAAGCTCTCTGGTCCCATAACTCTGTCTTGTGCTCTCACTCATTTCTCAGTGGACATTCCCTCACGCTGTTCTTTGTTCCCTCCCGCAGGTGCGGAGCTGGCTGTGACCTCGACCCGGACCCGTATGCGTGACCTGCCGGCCCCGCATCCGGGCCACGGCCCCACCGTGGCTCCTCTGGGCGCCTCGACCTCGAGGGGAGCTCGGAGCCCTGCCGGGGCCCGTCTCCGTCTCTCGTGGTCCTAGAGGTGAGTCTCGCTCCGTCGCCTGTTTCCCCGTGAACAAGTGCGACCAGATATAGCGTTCCCAACTGTGTGATCGGGGGTCACGTGGTTCACGGGCAGCGCTAGGAATACGAGCTGTGACGAGGAGGCGAAAGCGTCGAGAGCCTCAAACGTCTCCGAGCTTTGCTCGGCCGCTCCGCTTGCTCTCCTCCCGGCCACGCACGAATACAGACGCGTGCACGAAGAACCATTAGACCGTTTGCCGAATTAGCCAAGCATCGAAGAGAATGCCGGGAACGTAGGTACACGCGCTGCGCGTGCTGGCGTCCGCAGCTTTAAAGGGATACTGAACCGAAATTTCGAGCTCACCAAACAAGGCCGGGCGGATAGGCGGGAAGCTGCAAAACCAAAAAATATCACTCATACTGCGATATATCTAACGGATCGCCGTATTTTTTGGAAAAGAAGTGCGCGATTGAACCCGGCCGACGAGGCGGACGAGGCAAGGCACGTCACGATGCCCATTCTCTCTCCTCCTCGCTACGTCCCGTCAAGCTGGTGAACCGAAGCGAGGAGGAGAGAAGCGAGGCCGCTTCGCCTCATTCTCAAATTCTCCCGGAGGACATTTACGTCAGAGAACTCGCTTGTTCGCGCCCTTCTTTTCCAAAAGTACGGCCGCCTGTTAGAGATATCGATCTATGAGTGATGTTTTGGAGTTCGTAGCTTCCCGTTCAACACTTCTGCAGCCTTACTTTGCGAAATCCAAATTTCGGTTCAGTATCCCTTTAACTGCTCGAAAGCCAAAATCTAAAAGAAGTGGCACTTCGCACGCGCGTTCCAGAAGCGCTTTGTTTGGGTTATTTATTTCGAATCTTTTGTATAAGAAAGTCGAGCGCGTGCAGCGGCTGTACCTACGTTCCCAGGATTCTCTTTGGATGCTTAAGTGGGTTAGCGATGAGTCTCTCTCCGCAGGAGGCGTCCGCCAATAAAGTGCGAACGGCGTTCATTGTTTGAGCTTTTTTTTTATTTTTAAATCCGCGCTCTCTACAGTGAGCAGCTGGCAGTGCTAACCGATGGGGCCAGTGGCCTAAAAGGGCGACTTTGAGCAGGCCATGCCTCCGACCTATTAAACACTAAGCGTTGCATCATAGTTCTGACGGGCACTCGGACCGTTCGTGCTCGAAATCGGGTTCAATGACTGCCGTTGCGGCCTGTGTCAGAGTTGCGGATATCGCCCATGACGTGGCGCTACCTGTGAACCACCACTTTAGAATTTCCCTTTTCGCAAGTCTTCTCTCTCTCTCACTCTCGTTGGGCAGCGTCGTTTTCCTTAGAACTTCGATATATATCTCTCTCTCTATATATATATATATTCACGGCGTGAGTTTCCCGATCACTACTATCCAATGGGATATTCGCTGCTGTAGCAAATGTGCGCTTCCTGCGTGCGTACTGCCCCACGATTCACTCAGTACGTCACAAATGCATCTTGGCTTAAACAGCTAAAAAAAACGGAAGAGAAAACCAGTGAAAGGGGCGAACAAGAGGAAGACGCGCGAACAAACAAAAATTGAAAAAACGAAAAAAAATTGCTTTTTCGTTGGCTGTGTTGATGAGGGGGATCAGTGATTGGTGCTCTAGGTGAACTTCATAATCAGTCAGTTGGCAATGAGATCACAGATTGAGGCAATAGAGACTGTTGCGAACTTTTGATGAAGCGAGGAACATCGTTGTACCTAAACACGCCACCGTGTGTTTGTATCTAAATACAAATCTTTCGGCATACTTAAAGAAAATGTGTTTCAGGGTAAGTTTCATGGCTATTTTCGATATGTTTCGAAAACTACAAAGCTTCGCAATGAAACTTTTCTAGAAATTGATGGTTCGAGGTATTTGGGCTAAAAACGCGCTTGAACAACATGAGCGCTGACACCATATAGCATCTCTCTTGAATGTCATTCGTGATTTCATGGAACAGAAGCATTGTTTTCACACCAAATTCTCTAAAAGCATCACATAAAAAAAATAGGTGGATTGTCGTTTTTTGTGGGCGTATTTTTCGAACGGCTTCAATAGAAAACGAAAAGAGAGGGAAAGAGAGAGAAACAAAGGAAGAATGTGACGACGAGTGTCCTAGTGCCAGATTTTCCAATTCGCGTTTTCCCACTCAAGAAAACACAACAGCTCGCGTAGACCGCATAGACCGAAAGATGCGTCTTCGCCATGAATTTCATTCCGCCAAACCGCTTTATTCTTCTTCCGATTCGCATCTCGGAAATGCGCGCGCTTTGAAACCCGAGACGCCTTGCGGCATTTGCATATCAACGCCTCCGCAAGTCGACTGTTTGTCCATTGTTTCTCGATACGTGACTGTGGCCCACAATGCGCCATACGGACGTGCACGTCGATGGTGGTCCGTTCTAGCACATTCGCCGAGAAAGGAACAAATAAAAATGAACGAAACCAGGAAGAAGGGACATCGCGTCGACCCTCAACCAAAGTCGAATTGAGACCCACTCAATCCCGTTGACTTCGTTTCGTTTTACGCTCCTTCGGGTCACCTCGAAGAAACGAGGCGCTCCCGCTATGCGCATAAAAAAAAAAAAATAAAAAATAAAAAAAAACTAACGAGAAACAAACAAGTTGAAACCCATTGACGAGAGAGTGCATTAACGAAACAAACAAGGCGGGCGAACAAACTGGGGATGAACTACGGGAAACAAACACCAAACTGCACACCAAAAAAGGGTGAAGACCAAAGAAAGAAAGAGGCCGACCGTGAACCAGCCGGGAGCGTTCTCAATCCGCTTCACGAAATACAAAGCGAAGACATTCCGCGGGCTCGCGACGCGAAGCCCAGATCGGCGTCAGTCCAGACGCGACGAGACAGGCAAATATGGCGCGCACGTACACCAACCAACAAACAAACAACAACAATAGGCCCATTCACAAGAGAACACAAAACAAAAACAAAGTGACTTCGCTCTTTAGTGTTTGTATTTCATTCGCCTACTTTCATCGGGGGAATTTGTACATCCTGGCCCTCGGTCTCGGTACGATCAGTATGCCCATGACGCGCGTCGCGGGATCCGCCATTTTGTTTGTTGCAAACTTGTCTGTGTCGTCTGCTATCCTAGGTTGCGCTGTTGAACGCGGCCGTTTCCGTCTAGTCGTTTTCGCTCTCGCGTGTTTTTGTCTTCTATCGCGGTTTTTTTACGGAAAGAGCTTCCTTCAGTTGCATCAACAATAAAGATAAATTTCGCGCCTGAATACATATAAAAAAGTAGGGAGTGGTATTACAATGCACGGCGTCGAGCTGCGAGGTACACAAAGGGTTTTTCGGGAAAGAAAGGAAACGGTGAAAGGTTTGGCGAAATCCGCATTAGGGACAAACCAGAAGGGTGCCATTGATCTCTGTTTTTGCTCGTCGGCTACTGGACTAGCTTTTTTTTATTTATATTTTGTTTGTTTCGTTTGGGGACGTTTGCATTTTGTTTTGGGGAAAGTTGGGAAAGGCACGAGGAAAGACACGTAGTTGCTAGCGGTGTTCACGGAACGGCGTTCCTAGGACACTTTCTTTTTCAGGAGGATCGCAGCCGTTCCATCCTGTCTTAGTATAACTGCAATGGAAACTCGTCAAATTTTGACGGAAGCGAAAAAAAGAAACGGCGTTCCTATTTTATTTTTCTTCCAATGTGGTCATTCTTACTTTAGTTATAGGGGGAGCCTCAAAAAGAAAAAGCTAAAATCGATATCTTTACCACGAGTAGTATCTCTAAAACTTTTTTGTTACTTATTCTAGGGTCCATTTTTTTGGTGTTCTCACTTGGTAACAGTCAGGTGCAGGCGAGCTGCTGGATATTGATCCTGTTTTCAGCGCCCGAGACTGCAGAACAAACAACAAAACTTTTAGTCGAAGGAAGAGACACAGGAAGAGGGACGTTTCAAACTCGGCTACTTTCTTTACTTCCACGAATCCTCTTTGTATCCCGAACATTGGTCACTTAAAAAAAGAAGAAAAAAAATCACATAAAATTAACATTTATTTCCTTTTCCCTTCATTCCCACCTTCTAACTGAACAACGAAAAGTTCTCAAAACTGATCTTCCCAGGACCCTCTTTTCCACTTCCCTTCCATAGTAAAAAAAGTGGGAATTGGACCTGCTGGAAGTGTGCCCATTTGTTCGTGCTAAACATATCAGTGTATCGTTTAGTCATTGGTGCAACACCTGGGACAGAACTCCTGCCGGTAAACGTGGCAAGGGCGCGCAATCTGGAGGGTCATCATCGGACCGCCTCTTGTCTCCCGTGGTAACTGCCACAGTGAGTGCCGTCTGGCTAGCCTACCACAAACATGAATATGGTAAACTTGGGTTGAGCGCGTTGCTAATAAATTCAAAAAATATACGAAAGAGTTGGACAAAGATGTCTGAACTCTCGTATATTTTTGAATGGATATGGTAAAACGCTGAGATTTTTAAACCAGAATTTATGACCAAATGGTACCTTGGTTGCCCTTGTTTTCTTCTCGAGGTGTCCTTCTATCACGGCATTCAATTTTGTATGTTGCCATTTGATGGGATAAATAAAACTTTGTTTGATCTAACTAAATATGGTAATTATAAAAATATAAATGCAACGTATATGTAACGATACGTTCCATTTTTAAGCTGTTACGAGAACAAATTCCTTTCGCACAGATGGAACTTGTAACGGGAACAAATTCCTTTCGCACAGATGGAACTTGTAACGGGAACGCGTTCCAAAACTCCGAAGGAACGAGCTTTCGTTCCCGTTTTTGAGGAACGTGTACAACACTGGATACTGGGAACTGGAGTGATGAAATAAATAAGAGGTGTTTTGTGGAATTTGCATTAACCCTAGGGTCTGGGATAGAGTGGTACTGATGTAATTAACGCGGATCACGCTCCCGTCTTTCTGTGAAGCTCGATGTTAACCCAAAACTTCGTGGTCGGCAGGCTAAATGAGACCCCAAGGAGGACGCGACTTTGACGTGACGCCAC